TCTTCCAAGTTTATGTCATGGATAAGTTCTCACCTATGTCGCCCAAGTGTTCGTTAGAACATAACTTGTACGCTCTATGACATTCCATATTTTCCAGCATTGAATATTTTCCTCAGTATTGTCCGTAAGGTTCATTGGTAAAAAAACAAATTTCAGTAGACCAAATGACTTTCTGATGAAAGGGAAAATAAATTAGAATTGATGAGACATCAAATTTTGAACTCTTGGGAGCAAAGAGAGAAATGACAGAAAACACTAGATCTACATTACTCAGAGAATAGATGACTTCTTTGCCAAAGCAGGCCTCTTCTTGACATTTCACCCAAACTCGGGGCGACAAAAATGGCAATAGATACAGTACATCATTGATATGCATAAGAAACATCAATTTACGATCGAATACTTAAAAGCAAATATGATCAGTACAGATGACAAAAAATTATCCACTTTAACTGCCTTCTTGAACCTGAATTCAAAATCGAAGCAATGCAATGTTTTCTGATAATAGCGATGCAAATTCTATCCATGTCAAGTAACCCTACAAGCAAGAATCAAGTAATGAGGATTGTCCATTTCCTGCCTCGACTCCTTTAACATTCATCCTGTGCATACAAGGAAGGCGATGTACAAGTTAAATTACGATGTCAAGCACAAGCAGCTTCTAGTACAACACTTGCTCTCAATAACAGCAACAAACAACTGATTTCACAACAACACATCTCAGCCTTTTAGTTAACAATTAAATACAATAAGGAGGCAACATCACTATGAAGAAAATGCAAGCCTCCAAAAAGAATGCATAGCCTCCACCCTCTCAAACCCCACAATTAACAACAAATGCTAAATCCTGAAAACTGTTAACTACCAACTACTGCCTAAATAAACCTGGTTACAAACCCCGCAAGCAGCTCTCCTTCACCCATATGCACATCCCTACCGCTATGAAGGAATTTTCTTTTGGCACTGGGTAGGTTTTCACATCCCCGATAGCCCGTGATGGGTGAGAGAGAACTCAATAATTACACTGGAATAATTTACATAACCATCAAATTTAGCTCTCTAAATTAACCGATTGTGCCTAAGACCCTTGTTGAAGTGAGGCTGCATCAACCGGACATACAGACCATTCATCTGCACCAGAGAATCATGGGTACCTTGTTCCACAATCTTGCCTCCATTGAGAACAACAATGTTATCGACATGCCTCATCATTGCTGCTCTATGTGCAATGAGAATGGTCGTCTTGTTTCCCATGATTAAGGTGTCGAGAGCCTCTTGAACCACTCTGCTGGATTCTGACTCAATTGACGAGCTAGCCTCATCCAGTAACAATATGGGTGCATTTTTTAGCACAACTCGAGCAATGGCAATTCTCTGCTTTTGACCAGGAGTCAGATCGACTCCTCTCATGCCCACATGAGTGTCATAACCATGAGGTAGACTGCTGATGAAATGATGGGCATTTGCAATTCTTGCTGCTTCTTTCATCTCTGCTTCCGTCGCATTGTGCCTCGCATATATAATATTTTCTCGAATGGTTGTTGAAAAGATGATAGGTTCCTGTTGGACGAGACCCATGTGGTTCCGCAACCATCTCAAGTTAAAAAGTTTCAAATCCCTCCCGTCCAATAAAACTTGGCCTGCGGTAGGATCATAGAATCTCTCAATCAAGGAAATTATGGTGCTCTTTCCAGATCCTGAGACACCTACAACTGCCACTGTTTGTCCTCCATTGACTTTAAGACTGAAGTTGCTCAACACCATCATCTCAGGGCGTGTTGGATAACAAAAATCGACATTCTTGAGCTCAATGCTTCCATAGACATTAGGAGGTTTTAGGCCAGAAGTATCATCAGGATCAATTTTTGGGACACGGTCAATAATTTCAAATACGGAAATAAGAGACTTGCGTCGCTTCAATATATATGGGGCGAGGCCGAAAGGTTCAACAAGCGCAAAGGTGGCGAAGGAGAAGACGATGTATTCTTTGACCGCTGTGGCTATTGTAAGATGACCATGCCTTACAGATACAGCAGTGTACCACAGCAAAAGAGCATTGCAAGCAAACAGAAGGAATTGTGAGAAGCCAAAGGCAAAACCAATGCCCATTCCATGAATAAAGCTCTGTTTGAGTATTTTCCCTAGCTGCAATCTATACAGTTCCATCACCTTGTTACCTGCACAAAATGCCACAACAGTATAGATGTTTCTAACTGCATCCTCGAGGACTAAAGAGGCCTTCCTATGCATCTCCTGAATGCCCCTTGAGAACCCAGCAAGCCACATTTTCTGCAAGTTGTCATAATCGTAATTCAAGACACACAAATGAAATTTATCGAATAGGCCATTTACAATGTCTGATAATAGAAACACTACAAACTTGAGTGCAAAAACATCAATAATATTGAACTGTATGTTTTTTTGACAAGATTTCTGAAGTTGCTTCTAGAGCAGAACATACAGCTTGTAGCCGAAAATTTTATGTTTCTAAAGTTAAGGATATGTTGACCTCACCTATTTTTCTTAGACTTAAACAAATACTAGTCCATTGCTCTTATCTGCATTTACTTCACTACCTACAGAAGTGTAGTATATAAAAGTTCTAGTATTAAGTCAAAAACTCTACAGTTAAGCATGTCTTGGTGGAACACTAGATTGAACTGTACAAAAACCCTCAATTGGCACTCTCAATCAGTTTCCAATTAGCTTGATAACAACTTTAATTTTCCAACAGAACTAAAAGTCAAGCTGATGAGAGGTCAGCCAACTGATTCACAACTCTTTTATTGAGATCTTGCTTCAATCCCATCAAGGCCCTTTGGATTTTGAATTACGGAAGGTGACATCCCAACATTGATGATAATGGGAATGCAAACGCACATCTTAACTGACGCAGTAGGGACTACACCCATGCCATAAAAACCAATTTAAAAGTGCTAGGTGCTTGCACAACATAGATCAACATAAAAACAGCAAGCAAATATCTTCATCATATGAAATAAAAAACACGCAATAGACATTAAGTAGAAATCACACTGCATGTGGACATATTTGTACAACTGGACGGTGAATACCTGTGCAATAGCGGAAACTGTAAGAATGGGTATTGTGGCCAATGCAACAAGTGCCACTCGCCATTCTAGTAGCAACCCAATACCAAGGGCCACAAGAACTGCTGCAGTATCCTGTATAAATATAGAAAGGCGGTTGCTGAAAGCAGCACGCACAAATGTTGCATCATTTGCCAGACGCATGGATAATGTGTCTGCACTGTTCTCTTCTTCATCAAACCATCCAACCTCATTACGCAGCATTGCTGGGTGATCAGACCAAAATGAATCTAGAGTACATCAACATACTACGCTACAAAGATATGGAATTAAAGTGCCTAAAAGGGTCTTATATCCTTACCTGAAAACATCATCCTCCGGACTCGCTCAGTCATCTTTTCCCCCATTATACCAAAATAGAAATGCTGCAGAAAATTAGCAAGCACTGTGATAAAACCCATGCATGCTATAATCAAACACCATCTGTTCACTTCATCACGTATATCCTTGACACCGAGTCTATAATATGCTGATATTATAAGTGCAATAGTGTAAGCAAGAAGTGGATTAAATGAACCGAAAATAGCAGCACCAGTACTTCCGAGAAGTGCATATAGCCATTCTGCAAAACTGAGCTGTGCAAGCCTCCAGAAGGATGGTTGCTTTTGGTGCTGGGAGTCCTTCGCTACTCTCTGCTCCATAGGCAGGTCATCAAAGTGATTAAGAGGACGGCTAAAGGTTTTAGAGTGAGATCGTTCATTTTTTGGATCAGAAGTCAAAAGTGGTGAAATTGGTGACTCCGGGTCAGAATTATTTGAAGTTTGCCGTTGTAAAGCATGAACATCAATTTTAGGTAGCTCAGGCAATCTCATTTCAAAACTATCTTGCCTTTTAATGGATGGTGCTCTTGCTGCTGCCACCAGGGGCATCCCATTTTCCACCATTTTCTCAGAAGGTGGGCTTTGAATATTTGGTGACTCATAGGAGTTGTAACTGGCATCTGACTGCCGGAATGCATGAGCACCATGTGTTCTCTGGAGGGAGGGTGATTTTGCCATCTTTGGAGATGACGACTCTTGAAAGCCATGACTCGCTGATGAGTCCTTCTCAATCTGAAAGGCGGCTGGCTCTTTGTAACTCCTGATCGGAGTCCTGAAAAAGGTCGAGAATGGTATTAGGGTACAATTTATATTGGGGTAGTTTCCATGCTCCTAAATGCATGTGTGTACATATAAATTACTCAGATCACGTTAAAATATTTGTAGTTATGTTATCAATGATCTGTAAAAGGGCTACCTAATTGTCTGACTAATTTAAAATTAATATTGCATGAAGAAGATCAGCCTGCAAGCTAAACCAGGTGCAGCACATCCGCGCTTATGCAGATTATACAAAAACAAAATGCTATACAATCCATTTAACTACAAAAGGTTCAAAATAGCAGTTAATCCAAAAACATCTGCCTTCAAAACCAATCTGACAGCTTCAATTTTTCATTACCTGTGTTCGTATTATAAAAACGTTATAATCTCCAAGCTACAAAATGAAAACAGATTTCTTATAATGCATGACATGACACGCAACAAAGTTTTGCATCAAATAGAAGAGCTAATATAAATTCTTGACTACAAGGGCGTACATCTAGAAGGTCATTCATAAGATGCAGATGCTAAAAAGTTTAAATTGAACAGTAAGACATAAGAAGGTAATGCATATAAAACTGTATGCTAGAAGAGAAAATATATATGGAGAGGTTGTGCTTCTTTTCCCAGTAGATTGCACATGAAATATAGTTTTTGAAGTTTAATTTTATACATTATTTGGATGTTATTCAGAAGTAATTTGAATTGCTTGAACGTAAGAATATAAAAGAGTTTAATTGCAGATAGCCTGTC